TTAACCCAGCCCAACGATCACGGTCAAGGTACATAACCAAAAATCGACACGTGCCAATTCAGAGCATTTCAGAGAGCCAGCGTGGGACAGCTCCATTTTACCTGGACACCAGACACTAACCAATTGGGTGGAGTCGACCAAAGCGGCAACGGCGCCAGCAGCAGCAGATCTATTAATATTAAATCCAATAATTGTCAAATAAGATCTTAAGCAGCACTCAAAATAAACGGTTGCGTTTTTTTTTTTTTACTATTTACAATTGTTTAATTGGCGCCCGAGCAGGGACACAATGTCCTAGAAGAATAATGCGACGCGTAAAAGGCCTGTGCCCCTACTTCAACTTAGAACGGAAAAACCAAAGGTCAACGAAGTTTTATCACTACAAATGTTTTACGAGATCAACATAAATATCACAAAAGCACTGAAAACCCTTAGGAGCAGCAACACAAGTATGAAAACCGTAAGCTTTACGCTCTCAGTCACATCAATCATTTTAATAATGGCAGTAGTTGTCCGTCTGAAAGAGCAAAGAAGCATCTCGCAGCAGATCCTTGCTACTCGACCAGAAGCCACTCCAATGGAACACTCCAAAACCGTAAGCTTTACGCTCTCAGTCACATCAATCATTTTAATAATGGCAGTAGTTGTCCGTCTGAAAGAGCAAAGAAGCATCTCGCAGCAGATCCTTGCTACTCGACCAGAAGCCACTCCAATGGAACACTCCAACATAACCCAAACCCGCTTTTACATCACGTCCGAGGACGTCCACTTTTTAAGTGGGAGGACAACAATCAATAAAAATTACTCATGCACCTAGCCCAACGATCCCGACTAAGGTGCATGACCAACAATCGACACGTGTGCCAAGTCAGCGCATTCCAAAGAGGCACCGTGGGACAGCTCCACCAGACATAACGGAAGTTATGATAAGGACAACTCCAAACAAAGGAGAAACAACAATATCCCGGCCATATCATACCAAAAGAAAGTAATTCTGACCAACAATATTAATAGTCAAGTAGATACTTAGGAAGTTCTAAGCCTTGGGGCTCTATGCATAATGCATAATAAAACTACAAGCTTAACTAAAAACCTATATCGAGGACGCAAATTTTCAAAACCCTTGCAAAATTTTCCGGTGAAATTGTTAACACGGTAAAACTACCAATTAAAAATGAGAATTAATGCCTTACTACCAAAAAATAGATCCAAAAAGGGTCTTGTAGACGGCCATTTAATATATATCTAGTGAAGTGTATTCATGCGTATTCTAACACTTTGTTACAATCTTAAATATTGCCATTGACAGCAATGGATATAAACAAACAAAAAACTAAGCCCATTTGAATTTAATGAAGAACACTGCAAAAAGTGATGTTAGATCTGCAAGTTCGTTTAGCATATTTAGATGGCGACCGTGGCACGACCAGCAATCGATCGATGGACCTAGATGTGGGAACCAGAAACCGAGAAAACAACAACAATAATAAAAGCTGAATCAAAGGAACCCCGAAAAGAAACTGAGAGTGAGTTGAAAACAAAACGGTGCATATCGATACGAATCACGTTAGATAATTTAAATCCGTCAGGCTGAATTAATAGCACTGTCATATGGCACTCAGTCACCTGCCACTCATTTAATTCGCAACTTGTCCGCAAGACTAATAAATTCTCGAATCCCAAATGAGCTACATGAGATTAAGAGGAAGGAGCGCAATTGGAGTGATAGGTTTGTACAGGAGACAACAGGTATGAAAGACATGTTTCCGCAATAACACATGAGAAAATTAATGGAAGTAGACACACGTCACTTAGAAACGCTGTTGTCCACACTAAGTGTTCACCATAGGCACGTTAGGGGCATCAATATTTTAGGCTCCTCTTTGAAAATGATTACAGGGACACCTGATTATAACGACATTTAAGAAACTCGGTTGGCAGAACTGATTAGGGAAAACAATTGACAAATAGTTATCAAAACAAAAACGCAAGAACAATGCGCAAGAGCAATGCTCTGACCAACACTGTAAACGAAAAATCAAGAAAAAAGAGGAAATCGATACTTCCCATCTATTTGAAACACTTTTGGCAAGAATTAGTTTATTAACACTTGAGTAAGATATGGCCAATATAAATGTAGAAGATTCCACAATAATTGACGATGGTGATTTAAAAGTAATACTAGAATCAAAGGCATTAGTGTAAATCAATTAAAGTTTTAGCAAGTAATGACATAATCCACTTTTTTATTAAATTTCCCAAAGCTAAAAAACCGGATAAGTATGTCTGTAAGAAGATAGTAATTTTCCCAGTCGCACACGCCGGCGTAATTTCACAATTACCAGAAAATATCGTGGCGGATATCGTGCGATAATAAAATTATCGCGGTCAGCTCGGGCAACGGATCCACTAATATCGTATTCTACAGGGATTGCCAACACATGCGCTGGAATTGTTAACCCGGCAATATTAGACTCCAATGGTTAGCAAAACATAGTCAATGAGCGTTATACAGTTGCAGACGCGGCCGGCCGATACGATACGACACCATGTACGAGGCACAATGTCAGCGATTTAAGGAAGTAGGGCCTAGCATACATAACAAGAAAATATAATCTATACAGTTAAGCTGAATTTTTGACAATAAACCAGTACCTACGATACGGTAGGGTACCTAAGAGCTCTTAAATTTCTTAATTTATATACTATTTGAAGTCGGAGATGCTCTCTTCTGCCTGTGACATACTTTTGCCCAAAACTATTTTACGCTTTTAAATGGGTTCATGGACAATTTAAGATTGTGCTGATCGAAAATTATTATATATTATTATCATACGTGCGTCTTTAAAAGGTTAAGAAAAATAACAATTATTATTTGGGTATGTAATCACCTATTAAAAAGGTATATATTTCTAATACGCATCAACAGCAAAATTAATAGTCTTTGTTTTTGTCCGTCTTAATATTTGCAAGAACACACGAATGTGTATGTGCATGTGTTCATATACATCAGTAAATAAGTATTATAATTAGTTAATTTAGAGTCACGTACATACTATCAACAGCATTCTAATATTGCGGAAGTGGTATCTTGTCAAGTTCCATCGACTTAACACCATCGTATTTGTAGCTAATAATTCAATTAAAATATGTTGTGCAAAACCTTTTAAGTGAAAGCGAAACATTTTCAATGCAAGTTAAATGTAATATTATACAAATCAAAAATTGATACTTGACTTTATGGTTTATTCAAAATTATACAACTAAATACATTAATGTATTTCATTAGGTAACATCAAAAGTAATATGTACCAATATTTTTTCTTAATTCAATTAAAGTCTTTAAGGTTTCAATTGACTAAGGCCCATGTATTGAATATTTAGCTACAAGTGCTCTTGACAATTATTAATTAATAAGTTCTTTATGATACCTTTAAAATCTGCAAAGTGACCTAAATGTGTTTTACTGTTTTTGGAGAGCAATTTTTTATTCTTGGAAGATTTGAATTTAATAACTTTCGTATTTAGATTACCGCAATTAATTGAAGTTCAATCATATAAACCGAGATATGATGTAACAACCCTACTCTAAAAGTTTTTTAAGCGGATGGCACTGTATCGGAAGATTGTTGGATATATATAGCTCGAACACTAACACTTGACCCTAGCAAAAGTAGTTTCTTACCAGAGATGCCTACATTTTTTAATTCAATAAAAAAAAATCTTAAATTACGATTTACTTACAAAAAAAAAAAAATAATTACGAAAAATTAATGTATGTATATTTCGATGTTTTTTTTTAGTAAAAATGACCCCTGTACCCCTGTATTTGAATAAAATTTTGTAAAAGAAAATTGAATGGATTTTAGCAAATAAAACATAATAAATATATAGACTGCTTCCGACAAATTATACTTAAATAGACATTATAATCTTTGGAACGACTTTTTTTATTGTCTGTCAAAATTTGTTAGAGCAATAACTACAGACAAAATTATGAATTCACGTATTGACGCATATATGGCAAGACAATAAACTAACGTATTACATTATTAATTAAAGCAACTTTCTGATCACTCTGTTTTTGTATAAATTTGAACGGCGGAAAACTTTTATGATTTTAATTGAGATTTGAGTACGTTTTAAGTAATTTCCTATATAGAGTATTGGAAGTTAATCAAAAAGGTATTTCGGCGGCAATACATGAAATGAATCATAAAAAAAATCGTATTCAAAAACTAATTCTTTGGATATATTATTTAAAGAATACATATGATTAAATAATTTTTTAATATTTAATTACTGTATGAATAACTCTGTTAGATATTTATCAAGATATCTTAACCAAGCACCGGCAGTTATTTGTGTCAGTGTGCCCTACATCTAAGCAAAATCTTATCAACAACGGACCGCGATATCGTATAACTGCCATAGAACACCTATTCAAAAATTAGGTTCTTACATGTTCGTTTTTCAAAATGTACTATTTTTCAAGATATCTTTACGAAAAAATTACAAATTAAATTTCTACCAGGGTATACAATCTTCGGAGTGTCGATAGCATTTCTTTCCTGTTTCCCTTAGTTTTACCTTTGCCAACATTTTAAATTGATTGTGACGGTAGCATGCAGGATAGAAATCCAAAGGCAAAAGCATGAGGGATTGCGCCTTTCGCACGCATCTAATAAAGAAAACCGCTAATATGGTGTCATAAAAGCTGCATTTAAGTAGATGTTATGTACTTATTTGTTGCAGAGAGTGGTATAAATCAGTTGTTACTTTGCATGCTTTTATATATAACTATTCATATATATATATATATATATATATATATATATATATATATATATATATATTGTGTTGAACCAACAATAGAGTCTAACCCAATACATAATTAATCAAAGTGAGAAATAGCAAGAGAAATGTTAGTTTTGAAAATAGTTCATGATAGCTTATAAATGGTACCTTCGATATCTACGGTTATTAGTAAAATCAATAAATTTTAAGTAAAACGCCATAATACTTCTTTACTTAGTTCCAGCATAAAAACTACACTCTATTCTAGAAATATTCTACTGAAAATTCTCATTGTTCCATTATTTGAACCTATATGTCTGTCGTTGTTGTTCCGATGGTTTATCGGCAGGTTATCAATCAAATTTAATTGGGTTTGATTTGATTGGACAAAACTAAAATTGCAGTCTACATCGCAAGTTTTTTTATAAGCTATATTATCTAAATCTATTAATTGCTTGCCGTTGTTGCTGTCTTTTTTTAAAAAATGTACTGTGGTACAAATGTATCCGGTTGATAGTAACGCTGAGCGCAGTCATTCCACAAGCCCGAACTGGTCTTGCTCAATTGGTTTTTTAAGCCAACTGCCAAGATCCTCTCGCTTGAATGCAGAAAACAGCTCTTGCTTAGCCGTCTGCAATGCAAAGTGAGAATGTGGTGGAGACATCAAGAAATAAACGATCTGATTTACCTGGTAATCCTTGACGTCTGCCTTTGTTTCCCCGTAATCTTTGGTGACCTTGCGATTTGGCATGCCCGGCAAGTTTTTCATTAAAAACCCATATTTATCAAAGAAAGCTTGTTTTGTAATCCTTGACACTTGACCGCCAATGGTTCGCCCGGTTAGCGAATTGACCACCTCTAGTTCAGTGTCTCCAATGGTCCAATTAATTCCGAAATTTGGAGCTTTTGCTTGATTCCGTGGTTCTGCAGAAGTAACCAGCGCAAGACGTGGCTTGTTTAAATGATACGGAGGTGGCAGACCCTGTATTGACTTTTCAATACGTCCACACACAGCGCGATACATATGTTCTGGGTGCAACAAACTGCCCAATACAATGGAATGCAGGTACACTGGTTCGATAATAGCAGACAACAGTGAGCCCTGAATACCCACAATGTTCCAACGTGCAATTTTATCCGAACATGACATTGTAAGCAAGCGTTGGCCCTGTGCACATGAAATTTGATTAAGACCAGTTTTATAGAACATTTAAAACGCAAGCACTTACCTGCAGTACGCCATCCCATGTTTGTATTCCATCACTGCTCTTAACTGGTATGGTTCCTTCTCCTGATTCGATTTTCGTACGCAACTGTCCACGTGCTTTTCTATACGTTAGTAGTAATTAATGTTTATATTGCCAGGGTTTGGTTTAAACCACGGGAGCCAAAAATTATGTGAAAATCCAAAAGCAGTTAGTTGCATGTGATTATTGGCAAGCCAAGAACAGACAAAAAAGGTAAGTTATAATTAAAAAGTGAACCTAATTTTCTAAGCATTACATACAATCTGATATGCGTCTACCTTCTTCAGAAGAGACACATACACAGCTTTGTGGCATTATTCAAATCATTAATTTTTTTAAAAACTGCAAAATAATCAAATCATCTTTTGAAAGCCTATAGAAAATATGACTACATACACACACAAACCTCTTAAACACTTACATATATGCATAAATGCAAATACCAACTAAAGGAACACCAATCTTTGCTAACGGCAGTTGACTTTTAAAAATACATCTCCGATTAATACAGCTCCATATTTTTGCTGCCTGATACAATTTACCACAGGGAATTATATCGGACTTCTTATGCAAAAACAATAGAAAAAATACGTCGCTATTTATGTAATATGATGGCAGACTTGGTGCTATTCATATTCATGTTCGTCTGTCTTTTTCCAACAAACTAGAAAAGAAATTTAGTTTATGTTTGAACAATCCTTTTTTTTGAGCTCTTTCATTCTTCATTCTATAGCCCAAAACATCGGAACAATATATTATATTGCCGTCAAAGGAAGGGACGGTCGAACATTAAATATTGTATAACATTTCTGTTTTCAATATATTTCTGTTTTTGACTTTATACTCAACTATAAAGTCATGTGGAGAAGGTCGCCGTTTTAATGGTTTGTTCTAGGTTAAACAGTCCGCAGTTTAAACTTATGTATTGAAACCCAGGATTTAACTTCATACAATTTGTTTCAGACAAAAAAAAATTAAAAACAACATTTTAAAACGAAAGGAAGAGTGGTCCAATCGGGGTTGCCACATTAGTAGATAACCTGAAGTATACACAAAAGATCAAAAGCGCATGTTTCCGTTGCCACTTGCAGAGCACTTTATGCTGAACCTGTGCCAATATTTATAAGACTATGAGCGCTTAAATATGTAAATATATACCAAAACCCGAGGCCTCCAAAAATAAAATGGCTATTCTTAATTAATGTATTCTACACGAGAACCTACCAACCTGTCAAGTTGGGTGTAGATCTTTACATTGTTGTTCTAATACTTTAAAAATATAAGACCGAAAATTTACTTGTAACGAAATAGGAGGAGATAACGAGGAAATAGGATACTCGTCCTGATATATGAGAATATATATATTGAGTTTCAAGCGTCAAGCTTATGTCTTTTCCCAATTTAGCTCGTTCACACGGACAAAAAAAACAAGCATAGGTAGACCGGCTCAGCGCTTCGCTTTGGGCCCTTATGGGGCGGAGAAGATTCTTCCTTCGCTCTTAAAACCAGAATACCATTATAACCCATTTTCGATGAATTCAGGGTAGAAGAAAAAAAAAAATAAAACATCCTCTATGAATTGAAGATTTTCACATTTTTATACATTCAAATTTGCTGCGAAGAAGCATATTATTCAGCGTTCATAAGAATTTGGATCGTCGCGATATACAATATAACAATAGTTTTTAGGAAAACAGTTTTGAATAAGAGTGCCGATAGTTAATTAATAAAATAAATTAAATGTTTCGCTCACGTTGATTAAAAAAAAAAGTAATCGTCGGTCGGCCTGTTTAAATTGCGAAGTTGAAACTGAAGTCAAAAAAAAATACAGCAGTTTGTAGCAGCAGGAGCGTATGGGAGTTGTGTGCTATATATCTTGCTAAGTATTGCGAGTAAAAACCCGAAAGCGAAACGGCATCTCATCTATTCGGTATGTGTTAACCCATGCACATACAAATACTTGTTTCTCTCCCCCGTTCATCATTAAAAGATTGCTTTCCTTGTGTTTTATCTTAGTTAGAATTCATTAGACTTCTGACAACAAAGCGTTGAAATACTACAATTTAACATTCTTAATCCCTTAATCTACGGCACGTGTACAACTGTATGTATCCGATGCTTTAAATTCTAGTTGCAATTACATCGAAAAAATTCGTTTCGGCAACAAATGGACAATAAGCTACATAGATATTTATGTCGAAATTCAATTTGTTTACCACTTTGTTACTTAAAAACAAGAGAGTAATATTTATTTCAAATATGTGTAGCGTAATTTTTGTAAAGTAATTGAAATATATTTTTTGCAATGTTTGTTGTTGACAAGTTAAGACTGAAGGTGTATTATACGGAGTCGGTTGCAACACAATAAATTTGTAATTATTTTGAAATGTACCCAGCTTTTTAAGACAAAAATACAAAACTTTTGAGCAGGGCACAAAATACCATAAACATCTTTATCGCGACAAAATGCCTAATCCTATGTGCACAGTGTAATAACAGACCAGTGAGAAGTCTTCATAAAAATGGGGTTTGTGACTGAAAAACTACAACCCTTAGGCAGAAACCAGAAAACTTTGATTTGAGAGGGAGTAAGACCAGAGAAATTCGATTAAGAAAAACCAATATCCTTCCTCCTGTTACCTTTGTGAAAAAAGTAAAATAATTGGTTTCAATACGGTACTCCTTCTTGACATTCATTTTAACTCTATCGTGGGCATATGCAATTTGGCGCAGTTTAGTTAAGTTAACAAAACCCTCATTTGAATGGTTTTCAAAAGTTTTTCTAATTATTTTTCTAAAGTTTTAGTAGTAGTATTTAAATAAGTGTTGTACCAACCTATTTGGATGCTTATCAACACCAGTGTCGTTTTCGTGAGGACTAAATATCCGTGCATCCCCACATGGTGCTGTATTTATATACAAATGGAAATGTACCCCGGATTTTAGTTTATAAGGGTATTGCCCGTCTGTATTCCTCACGAAAATCGACTGATATGCTGTTGCTATATATCAGGAAAAAGTAAACAAGAATAATCAAATGTATATAAATCAAAGTTAGGTTTTGTGTTTTTGTAGGAATATTTTGATGCTGCTCTTAATTAAGAAAATATATATGAATGCATACATATATATATATATATATATATATTTATATATATATATTTATATGTATACATATATACACATGTAGTTTGTTTTCGGTGGTATTTTATGCTTATTCTTATAAGATACGGTTGGGAGCACAAATGCGGATGCGGACTTTTCTTTACATCTGAAAAAATTTATTCAAATAGACTTTGAAAAGCACTTTAAAAATACTAAAAATTATATAAAACAATTTCAAAATAATATTCGTACATATACATCTCATTTTTTAGGGAAGTTGCTTAGTTTACAGTTGCGAAGCTAAAAAGCCGCATCCGCCCCAACTTTATTCTTAATATTTAATAGGTAGAGATAAAAATATATAGTATAAATAAAAAAATTTAATTTATAATTTATATTATATATCAGGCAAACACTAATGCTACATAAAGAGTATACCATTTGAATGCTGATAGTAAAAGGGTCTGTGTAATTTGTAATAAATAATTAAAAAGTGACCAATATTAGTTATTTAGCTTATAAATACCCAAAGTTAAGTTTCTTTATATCGGTAAATCAACTGTATACAAGTCACTGAAATTAAGAATATTATACAATATTTCTTTTCTTTTTTACTGCAATTAGATAACAATAAGAAATTTGTTTCTGCTTGATAATATTTATATGTAACTAGCCGCCTTAAACTCAAAAATCATAACGTATAGTGCTCAAGTCGAGAGTGCCCGACTGAGTCATTCATACCCCTACAGTTACCTTATTTGTGTTGTTTTTTAACTCATGCAATGGAACAGGAGGTAAAAAGAGATCCAGCCAGAGTTGCAAAAAATACTAATGCGCAGACTGAGATGTTTTTCGACAGTCACCATTGTAGCTCAATGTGTACACTTAACAGAAATTAAGAAACCCAATTCCTATAACCAGTACTTTACCAGGCCGAATGATAATTATTAGGTTTAGTTAAACGCGACATTAACTGTTTTTAATAAATAAACAAAAGTTAAAGGAACACAAACATTGTGACTAGTACATTTTTGTAGAAAGGCCGAATTCTTGCATAAGATGGATTATGCGGAAAAATATTTGATTTAGATATAAGCGTCATTTGTATATACCATTTATTTGATAACGTTAAGCTCTCCAAATACTACCATTAGAATTCGAACTTGCTGAAATTTGAATTTCCAGAAGCTAGAATTGACTCTTTGAATGCTTAAAACGTATTAAGCATTACATTCATCTTTTCTATTTCAACATCACCGATTGTCTATGTTTATAAAAATGGTTCGGTTTATAAAAATATTCTTATTTTTACGAGCCATTTATTTTGGACATTTTGCTTACGATATAATTGGTGCCACTTTAGACCATTTAACATTCTTTGTTTTTTCATTTATGCCTACAAGTATGTATATATGTAATATCACATAGTAAATCATTTATTCTTTGTTAATAGCTTATGTATATTTAGCACTGCAGGCATTTAAGTCAATTACTCAGTTATTTCCAAAAAGTAATTAGGTAAGGAGCAACTACTAAGATGCATGCTATGGAAACCGTATAAAAAAGTTAGCTAGCTGTACAAGTTATTTACAAACTTAGGCACTTTGGTAAGTAAATATATTATAGTGGAATAAAGCTTAACAAATGTTTCAGATATAGCTAATTATAAAAGCATACCCTGATTACACTGGAGATCAAGTTGAGCATACAAGTATTTTAGAAGACAACGCCTGGACACTATTTCAGCATGTGAGTCATTAAGAACAGCCCCATTAACGCTCATGTGCTCACCGCTAACACACTTTGTGCCCGTTGAAACTGAAATGACCTGTAAATAAATCAGATCAGAGCTAGTTATCTAACTTATATTTTCGCACTTACTTTTGCTTCGCAAAAATTCATGTTTTCTGTCATAACTATGCCTGCCAGTACTTTTCGCCGAGAGTACGCCTCCTGGCCCTTGATAACTTCCATGAACTTTTCCAACACTAACCGTCCGATAGTGTCCGCGTGTATTTGCGGTAATTCCATTGATGATGACTTGTCATCTATTGGTAATGGCGCATTCTTCTGGGGCGCCATCATCGGACTATAGGAAATATTGCACAGCGATGCAAGCGCGGCTTTAGCGGCTGCATTCTTAGCCAGTTTCTTGGAGGGACCTAAATAGCGGTAATCTGTAATCTAATAATCCTTAATAATTAATGAGCAATACCCACCTGTGCCGTCAAACTTTTTATCATTGATAGTGACTGTCATTTTAAAGCGACAGTTATTTTGAGCGCCGTCAATATTCATGCATTCAAAATTAACGTCATTAAATAGTTCGTACAACAACATTACAGGGCCTTTATCTGGTACTTTTTTCTGTCCGTCTACAGCAATCGTGTTCTTTGTGGCATCTAATGATTGGAAAATAAATTATTCGCTTTGTATTGAGCACATATGACTCAGAGCACCTAACTTAGGCATTTAATCTAATATAACTTTTTATGAGTTTTCCAATAGATGAAGAAATATATAATTGGACATTGTCTATTAAAAAAAACCAAAAAGGTAATACCACTTTGGAATTGTAATATTCTTGAATATTTTATAGATCTATACTCTGAATATTGCTTTGTAATTACATAAATATTATATATGATTATATATACATATTTATTAATTTATATAAAATAAAATAAAAAGCAAATCCTGCTTTCTGAAAGTTCATTCATAAATGCGGATCGCGAATTGTATTCAAACAGTCTTATTGCCTACGAAAAAATATCAAGCGTGAGATGTTCGAGTAGATCACAAAAACATAAGCATTAAAAATAAGAAGTTTTCCAAATAAGATTTCTCTCAATTTAGTACAAATAAAGAAAGAGGAAAACACTTTTCCCTTTTTGGACTTTAATAAAAAGTAACATTTTTACACCAATGAAAATAACGCAAACATACATAACATGTAACAATAGGCACTTCATTAAACCGCAAATAGAACTATACAACTACAAAATAAGTTTAAATTACGAAATAAATAAAATAAATTAAGGCACAAGTAAAAAATAAAATAAAAACAAACATAAAATACTAATACTTGCTGTGGCTCATGCAAAAGATTTGTGGACGCAACGTGGGTTGTTCAAGCGAGGTAAGGTTGGATTTCTTTGCAGGCAACATCAACGTGTATATCAGTTCGACTAATTTTGCTTTGGACACGTTTTCAATACCATTTTCAAGATGTTCGTCACTCGTGAAGTCCAAATTGCCTGCAGACTTCAGGGGCGATAAGACTGCACCGTCTTTAAATTGTATAAAACTGCGCAACGCTGTGGCTGCAGCCTCGATACGCGCTACCTTTTTACTGCGGCCTTGTCCCATATACTTTTGCCCATCAACCTGTAATAAATCAGAGGTCAAACTTAATCTACTTTCATAATTATAAGTTTTAAATGCTGAGTTGCAAATATCTTGGAAAACATAATATTTTGTCATTCAAAAACTCATTTTTCGTTCGATTTTTACTATGGAACTGTATAATATAGTAATCCGATCTTGATGTATGATCTTACCCTTATTTGTGTATAAGATTTTTCATATATGTGAGGACTAGAACTAGTAAATGGCGAGTTTGGTCATGACATCTTGATAAGCCTAAATCGATTACATGGCAGCTATTTATTAAAGTGGTCCTATGTTGATACAATTTGGAAATATGTAGGGAGCATAAGAGGAAGTAAGAATAAATGAGTTTGGTCAAGATAAACAAAAAAGCTTTTATTACAATAGCCTACTTATCGATCGATCGTACCTGATATGCTTCTTGGAAAGAAACAGACAGGCAGACATAGGTATATATACACTTTATGGGGAGATGTATCTATCCGCGTATACTATTTATGACAAAATAATAATACCTTATACAGATACAGACGGAAATTGCTAGATGCCTTTGATATACATAATTTAGAAGATAGCCAAAAAAAAAATCTAGGGCTTGCGAATAATTTGTAAGGAATAGGGTGATCATAAGTAAATAACAAGATGTCTCAACTCAATAGTGCCCGACTAGGAAATGCTCTGAACCAGCGTCTTATACCCTGAACCCATTGAAAATGGGTAAAAAGGGTATAATGTATTTGTGAAAATGCATGTAACAGGCAGAAGGAAGCATCTCCGACCCAATAAAGTGTATATATTCTTGATCAGCATCAATAGCCGAGTCGATCTAGCCATGTCCGTCCGTCCGTCTGTCCGTATGTATGAACGCAAGGATCTCAGAACCTATACGAGCTAGAGACTGGAAATTTTTAGCTGTAGGTCCACCTAGTGCCCGCGCAGATATTCGATAACTTGCCCCGTTTCCAAGTAATCGATAAAAATCGATATCAAAATCCTGTTTTTTGAGCTAGAGTCAACAAACTTGACATGTTGCATTCAAATTGTGGCTTATATTGGTGGACAGCATATGTAAATTGGTTGATTGACTTGATTTATAGCTTAGTGGTGGTAGCGGGGATGAAAGATACTGATATATATATACTATTCTAGAAGCAACATATCAAGTTTGGTGACTCTAGCTCTTATTATTTACCCAAATTTCTAAAAAAAAAACAGGATATAGATATCGATTATTATCGATTGTTTGGAAACGGAGTGAGTTATCGATTATCGGAAATAAACTCGTACTACGCATGGACTAGGAGGACCTGCAGCTAAAAGTTCAAGTCTCTAGCTCTTATAGGTTCTGAGATCCTCGCGTTTATACATACGGACATAGTTAAATTGACTCGGCTATTGATACTGATCAAGAATATACATACTTTATGGGGTCGGAGATGCAAAAAAACTCTAAAACTATTTAGAGTTGAAACCTCGCTATAGAAATCTTTAAGAGCTAGAAATACCAAACCTGTGTGACAAGTTTTATAGAAACCACTGATTGCTTAAAGATAAATGCGTATGTGTGTTAATTATTTAAAAACTTGCACTAACCTCAACGGAGATTGTAAATAACGGTGCATGCACTGGACCAGTCTGTGACTCTAATTTGTATATCAGTCCATGCCGTAATTCGTTGAGCATTGCAACTGTATTTTTCGGCTGCGGTACACGCTCCTTGCTTGATTTCTTTTTTGGTGGCACTAAAAGCAGAACATTTTAATATATTACATACAATTTAGATTTTCGAATACCGTTCAAACAATGTTCTTTCTTAAACTTTATTTTTATTAATTTTATTGTATTTCTACTTACCGGCATATTTGGGCATATCATAGCGTCGCTTTTGAGGCGATTTTCGATTATAGCCGTTCATATTTCCTTCTGTTGATTCAGTTACAACCTGTGCCTTTATAAATATGAAGTTAAAATGAAATCGCATTTAGTTATTTTCAAACGAAGTTACTACAACTACTTCTCAATGTAGAAAAACAGAAAGAATTACAGTACAACATTGACATTCAGACAGACATATATAGACTTTCGCCTTTGCATTAAATATTCTACGCACATACATATAATACATTAGTGCTATAGTCGAGATTACTCGACTATAAGGTCGTGTAACTAAATGTAAAGTACCATAAACCTATATTTATATGTACAGAATTTTATCATTGCATTTAAAATCCTACACACATATATTGCTATGATAATGATAGTCGGGAGACATATACATATACATATACATATACATATACATTTACATATACACATACATATACATATACATATACGTATACATATACATATACATATACATATGCATATGCATATGCATATACATATACATATACATATGCATATGCATATACATATACATATACATATACATATACATATACATATACATATACATTTACATTTACATATACACATACACATACACATACACATACACATACACATACATATACATATGCATATGCATATGCATATGCACATATACATATACATATACATATACATATACATATACATATACATATACATATACATATACATATACATATACATATACATATACATATACATATACATATACATATACATATACATATACATATACATATACATATACATATACATATACATATACATATACATATGCATATGCATATGCATATACATATAAATATACATATGCATATGCATATACATATACATATACATATACATATACATATACATATACATATACATATACATATACATATACATATACATATACATATACATATACATATACATTTACATTTACATATACACATACACATACACATACACATACATATACATATACATATACATATGCATATGCATATGCATATACATATATACATATACATATACATATACATATACATATACATATACATATACATATACATATACATATACATATACATATACATATACATATACATATACATATACATATACATATACATATACATATACATATACATATACATATACATATACATATACATATACATATACATATACATATACATATACATATACATATACATATACATATACATATACATATACATATACATATACATATACATATACATATACATATACATATACATATACATGGAATGACTACTCACTTTGTAATGGGACAGTGGGGGTGGCACGCGACCCCGCTTTAGAAAATAACGTTTTTTAGTAAAACAGCAAGTATCTGAGTACAGCTGGTGCCGTTGATAGAAAATTTCAGATCTTCGAAGATCCATTGCACGGTAATGTGATTTCTAGCAAATACGCCTTGCATTATAACATGCAAAATACATTGTTTTACAAATGTAAAAAAATACAATAACAGCGATATGTTGAATTCAAGGAAAGTACATATAACGACGTGGCAAAAAACGCGTGTTAATCGGTTGAGCGTAAGAATTCAACTGACTACAATTAAATCAAATTGCACTATAAAGCCCATTAAAGCCCAGCAACAATTTTTGAGAAGTATGTATATATTTACTCATATGTATAAAGAACTTATAAAGCGCGATGCTGTCAAGTGCACTTTAGCATAAACCCTATCGTAAATTTTGATGCTTTGCGGTTGATAAAACCATTGAAAGTGCCAACAAAAAATATATGAAATAATTTTATAGTGTACGTAAGAAAAAAAAAACATGTGTGCATTTTTAAGCGAAACAATTGGGAAAATTAAATATTGATATGGAATACCCCTCCTACAGTCTTCTGAAAATTAATTAAACATTAATTGGAGATTTTCTTTAAAGAATTGGCTGCGCAAGTTTCTTCCTAAAAAAACACTAAATTCAAACAATAAATTTTTGTTGCAATTTGCAGCACTCCAATCCCGTCTAAATGTACCTAAAATGCAAAAAAAATATGCGATGCACGAATAGAATATTGCACACAACTATTTTCTACTTAGACAATCGAAGAAAAAACAGCTGAAGGCCTCCCCGAATAGTAAAGGGCTGTAGCGTAATGAAGGCAACAGAAAATTTGCAAAAATTTGTCGTTATGGTGCGATGCTTTCCAACTGCACGTCGATGCACCTGTACGCCAAGTGTCAGCTGCCAACCGAGCGACAGTCGTCTGCTTGTCTAAACGAATTAACAATAAGTTTATACTAAATTAGACAACAAATGCGGTAGCACCTGTTTTTGCATCTTTTGAAAATAGGATTTGTACATGTTTTGCACAGAGCATGCGCCACAACAATGGGCCGAACATATTGACTAAATCACGAGCCTTGCACAAAAATTGACCGCAGGGTCGGTTAGTTACGTAAGTACAACATATGCTACCCTGGACCTAAAAACTACTAAGCAAGGGTAAATCTTTTATTTTTACTTGATAATGAATAATATATAATATACAGCAATGTATAGTACTTGACATAAAATGCATCAGGCTGCGAAGTACAATATATGGAAATAGGATATACAATTTAGAATATATACGATTTTACGCTGCACATACTTAATTTCGTTTTGAAAATGATAATTAAATGCATCGTATATATTATTTCCTCATCAAAAAGAAATAAAATTGAGTATCCTATTGCATTTACCCTATTTATTTTTCAATACAAGATAGAGTATAGCCAATCGGAATTGTTGAATATATACTCGACTTCTATATAACCTCTTTTATTGTGCCAGAATGATGAATTTTTTGTCTCTATAATTGACTTTTATAAAAAAAATATATATCGTTTAAGAGTCAGATGAAAATACATTTTATGAAATCTTAGGATAACAAATCGAATGATGATATTAAAGAAAAAGTGTAACTTGGTAAGAAATAAATAAAAGGTTTATCACTGTTCATGCAGCTATGGTTTCTTATTTTCCATCCCATCCTCTAAGAAAATTTAACTAGTTTTAGATTTCTTGAGTAAAAGTGATTTGAACGCAAAATTTAAATAAACATGCAAATATGTGCTTTTAAAAAGGTGCATTATGTCTTTTTATTTTATAAAACTATAGAGCTATGACATAAATATAAAGTCTCTGCTTTATTAGACAACTTTAAAAATCGCCCATTCGCTTGGTAAGCTTAATAAACCTTTTGGTTATTTTCGTGGTGTACTAGTGCTCGGCTGTAGGCAGCCATCTACAATTTGGCATAATGCCTAAATCAATAGTGCTTTTGTAATGCTTCCCAACAAACAGTGAAGTGCCTAGTGTTGCCTACTGCCGCTTCAAAAAAGAAGCTAAATCCAATGTTAAAAATAGATAAACTAGCTTTCAGAGCACAAATTTCCAATAAGCAGCTTTGCTACTAGTGGTCGTTGAGATGGCAAAAAATAGATAAATTAGTTTAAAATTTAAACTAATTTCGACTGACGATCTTAGAAATTGCCATATAAATCGAAGAAATAGCTGAATTGACAAAACTGGAGGTGTCAATTCGTAAGGAATGAGAGAATCTGTTGCGGCTTCTTTGTAAGTGCTGGTGGAACGTCATTGGCATTCAAATGGCATAAAGTAAAGCTTAAGAACTTACTTACGTTGCATGTGCAAACTGCATAAAAAATAATAATAATTGTAAAAATAATTATAGAATAATTCTAGATAGAGCAATCTGAGTAAACATGGAAAACATCTGGTAAATTGTGCTCAAAAACAAGAAGCATTTCCCCAATAATATCAGATGCGAAATAAAATATTATCAAATTACACATACATAGCTCACATAACAATACAATTTTAAAGTTACATGTGCATGCAACATTGCCATTCCAAAATTATATAAATACATATTACGTTTGTACATATGTTTACTACGTTTATGCTAGGAAATTTGCAATGATTATGTTTTTTGTATTATATTTATATAGCCTCTGATTAGGCTTTATTAGTCCGAAAATTAGAACCTTTAAATTCACTAAATTTTTCCATGTATTCAGGTCGAAGTGATGATGCTTTATCAATGAAACGATTTTGTAAAATAAGAATAGCATAAACGTAGTAAGAGTTACGTAAAAGTTTTGTGTCTACTTACATGCTGCACAAAATTGTTATTGACGCTGTTAAGCATGATTTTTTTTCCAATTTTAATTTCTCGTACTTTAATCGATTCTCTATAATTTGTTATAGCTTTATTATTTTTTTGTCTTGTTAAACTGCAATATTAGAGAGGAAATAATCCACTCTTGACATGTTCGTTTCCTATTAATTTATTTATTTGTTTTGTTTCTAGCATGAATATACTATATTTGAACTCATCTTTTTACTTGGTCATGTGTAAGGCACAATTGTTTAAATTCTACTCATTATAAATTTACGGAAATATATGTGAATCTAAAACGAAGTACAAAATATTAAAATGTTTGAAAATAAAAATATGTGTGTATCTTTTATAAGGCAAACTCAAGTACATTTCTGTATCTAGGCTATTTATATTTTTTAATGGTGCATAAATTGTATATATAAATGATTGCTCTTCTGTGATTACATTAATTGTTTGTAATATTCACGGTGCTTTAAATGCATACACATATGTATGTACTTATTAAAACCTTTCACTTAGTAACACTTTGTTAAACTTCTTTAGGGTTTTTATCAAATTGAATAACATGACAATTGAATGCAGCGTGTACATATGCACACACTTATATACACATATGTACATACATATGTACATGCATTCATACGTTACTTCAATGTGTAAAAAGCATAGCGCAAAATCTAAAGGGTAGCACGAGAGAGTAGGTTATTGCCTCTCACATTCTCACGTGGAAAGACGACACACTGAGAACAGCTCCATTCGGTGCTGCCAACTGCCGCTTCAAAATCGGTAGCTGGATCCACTTTTAAGAATGGGTTAGAATAGCTGAATTAGATTATTGTTCAGAAATACTTTTCATTTAAAAACAAAAAAATGTTATTTTCGTTTAAATTTCAACTAGCCGAATTTAGCTAGAAAATAGCTGAGCAACAGCACCATTATACGAAAGTCTTTACTTATAAAATTTTACGTCGACGCAAGTAAGTAGAGGGATATGGGCACACTTATATACATATGTACACATCTAGGTTTGGGTCCTAGCGTCCGACTCATAGTATGTAAACTGTTACATTTGCACTACCTACTGTTGATAAAAACTTTAAAAGTTATTGACATTCTCTTAATACTGTTTAAAACTCATATTTTATAAATAAACGTTCCCTGAATGTTCAGTACTCAAAAAATATTCAAATATTGTAAACTAAATGCCGCATTCAGGCCACTATTTAATAAAATTACTGACGCTTTCATTTCTACACTGTCGCATACTAACTGTTCAACTACTGTGTACAAGAAACAATGTTAATAAACAATGAGAGCAAATACTAAGAGCACGAACAAAAATTCTCTAAAAAAGACACACATTGCTTATATATATTTTACACATAATTATGTTTTCGATGGCAAACTAACTCAAATTTAATTGCCATATTCACCAGAATTCGTACATATGTATATATGTGCACACGCAGTGTGAACCTTCCCTTAAACATACATATATATGCTTTTGTTGATGATTTTTTCGCTACTCACACATATTCATACATACATATGTATGGAACTATACATGTTCTGTATACACATATGCATGTATGAATGTACTTGATTTGGTTGATTTTTGTTGTGTTGCTACTGCCTACCTTACTTGTATTTTGTAGGAGCTCTAATTATTGATTTTTACGTCACTTTTTTGTTTCGCTTTCCCATTTTATTGAAAACGCACTCCACAAATGAATGAAAAAAAATCGCACACACCTTAACCACAAGCAGCGTAACTCGGCGGTATTTGCCGCGTAGTTCAACGATTTATGTTATGAGGCAAATCTCACACAGTTAGTTTTTTTTCGTAACGTAACCGCCTGATAGCCCACAAAGAACAAGACCGACTTAAGTTAATCAAAACTTTTTGTTTTAGTTTTATAAAACACAAGCAGGGATGTCTGCGATTTATAAAAATATCGTATGTATCGATATTTCTCGTTTTAATTGAATGAGCTGTATTTTAAAGTGCTATCGATAGTTAGGTTCATGCTGTAACACACGTCGATATACAAATACACACATACACAATCTTAAATGCTTTGCCGGTGCACATTCCGTTCACAAAATATTTTATTGTTATAACTAACAGTGTTTGGACTTCACATGGATTGGGTATATTTAATGGCAGTATATTAGGGAAACCATCAAACTCAATTCGGAGTATATAAATAAATAATAAAATATATAAATGTATGTAACTGGCAGAATGAGACCTCGCATATATATATAAATAGAAGTTACTTAAAATTTAATTTAATTTCCTAATGGCGGAAGAAGGAACACCATCTGCGCAAGTTGCGCTGTTGGCCGTTAATAGTTAATACTGATTTACTCGAGTTTTAAGTGCCCTTTAAGACCTCTGAACATAGCGATTATGAATACAATTTTTTTTACAAAACAGTTTTATACCGTATACAACGCCTGATACATAATTTCAAAATATGACGTGCTCGCTATGAGTGCACGAAATAACATATTACTTCGCTTAAACTTTATAGTAATAACGTGGTGAAATTATATAAAATGAAGTTTTGAGAGCCATGGTGAAATTGTCCAAGGTAGTGTCATGCCAGCGAGTAATTTCGTGTCTTACCGCCTGTAAGCAGGGATGCCACATTGCAGAAAATATAACTTCAAATTTAATTTAATTTCCAAATGGCGGAGAAGGAACACTATCTGCGCAAGTTGCGCTGTTGGTCGTTGATAGTTAATACTAATTTACTCGAATTTTAAGTGCCCTTTAAGACCTCTGAACATAGCGATTATGAATACAAATATAAGTCTTATACCGTATACAACGCCTGATACATAATTTCAGAATATGAAGTGCTCGCTTTGAGTGCACGAAATAATATATTACTTCGCTTAAACTTAATAGTAATAACGTGGTGAAATTATATAAAATTTGCGAGCCATGGTGAAATTGTCCAAGGGCGTGTCATGCCAGCGAGTAATTTCGTGTGTTACCGCCTGTAAGCAGGGATGCCACATTGCAGAAAATAGAATAAACAAAGAATTGTTATAGCGTGTTTAGTCTTAAGTTAAAACAAGCCAGATTCTGCAGTTAGGCGTAAACGACTGCGTAATCTGCGATGACAGTCCAAGAACAGCATATGAGGCTACTCGTCCAATATATTAAGAAATATTGATAAAGCATATGCCACAAAAAAGTCCAGTGGGCAATTTTAAAATTAAAGCACCACATTTAGTACGTTTCCACTACATTTGACAACCGTAATTGTATGTGGTACATTTTTTGCGAATGCCCAGAATTTTGGTCTCTTTGAGTTGTGACGTCACACTATCAGTAATTTGTACGCTCGCTTTGAGCTTTGTATGAAAAAAAACCAATGTTGACGGTAATTTCTCTCTTACACTTGACAAACTGGCAGCACAGGATTTGGCGATCCAAAGAAACTAATAAGCAGTAATAAAAGAATATTAACATATATTTCAGCCTTAAAATTAAAGATACTTGATGCTTGATGGGGATGCACGCTAAGGCGAGGTCTCGGGAAGGTCCACACGTAACTGTGCAAAAATCGCAAAAAAAAAACTTTTTTAAACCATCCGATCGGCGTTAAAAATCTTTTTTCGAATACATTTAAGGAGTGTTTTACATTTTTGGATGCCTTTTTTTTTCCTATCTGTTTCATTTGAACAGACATGAGACTGGAGACACTACCGGCAGATGTTTATACATAATATAGGTCCACTACTGTGCTTTGATAGCGTGATAATGCTAGTAGCATTAGTAGTGGTGCTTGTTGTTACTGCCCAACTACTATCAGGCTGAGGCAAGTCGTTGTAACTTGATATACTCTAAGCATCATTTAACTTTAATGCTCTATCACTTAAGATATGGGTTCGTAACTCAGCAGGTGAGAACCGAGCGATTCTTCTCATACTGACTTAGCCAGTTCCTTGGCTGCGAGTGAGAAGTCCATTTTAAAACCATTAACTATAATTTTCTTATGATTGCTGGGCAATTGCAATACTTTTAAAACCACTTGCCACTGTTGTTTCTAGTTTTCATTTGCTGGCACAACCAAAACAAAACATGAAATTACTGATAAGAGCCCAAGCGACCATGCACTACACAACGTTTTATTGCATCACGTCAGCGACTGCGCGCAGGGCTATTGTCTTGCCTAGTGAGCAAGTAAACACTATCGACAATGGCTTTTTATGTTGGTATTATTATTTCCGCACTACCGTTGCAGACACCGCTGAAGACAATGTCCAAAAATATAACATAGAAAATAGAAGAGCAGAGTGCGACCGCCAGCGACAAATGCAGAAAAGAGACCGATAATTTTATTTAATTTTGAAATATTTTTACATTGGTTCAGTCTTTTTTACTATGCATCATGAAAGTCTACGTCCGAGAAGTGTATACTATACATTCGTGATTCCCATCGCAGGTAGAGGCTATGACAGCACCATCACTAAGTTGTAATTGTTAAATTTTAGTCCCGACGTCTCGTCAATTTGATGCTCACCTTTTTTTGTGAACGTAGCACGATACCGTATTCAAAAATAATGTCCTCTAGTCGGGTCATAGGTAACAGTTTAAAGTTTCGCAATATGGAGACTAGCAGAACTTTTATCTCTAAAATGGCAAACTTTTGCCCGATGCAATTGCGTTGTCCAGCACTAAAAGGAATAAATGAAAAAGGATGACGATCCAAAGTGTTTTCTTGTAGGAAACGTTCTGGTTGAAATTTCGAAGGATTCGAAAAATAGCGCGGATCTCTCATAATATCATAAACATGTACATTAATTTGGGTGTTCTTTGGCATAATCAAGCCATTTATGGCACACTCCTCTGTGCACACGCGTCCTAGGAAAGGAACTGGAGGAAAAAGACGTAAAGACTCCCTAATAACACATTCCAAGTATACAAGCTCGTTATAATTAAAGACGGTAAGTTCCATATTGTTTACGAATAAGTCCTGCAGCTCCTCGAAACAACGATCTTGAATATTTTCATGCAAGGCTAACATAAGCAGGGTAAAAATTAAACAAGTGGACGTTGTGTCGTATCCCTCGAACATGAAGGTGTTGACCTCATCACAAATGCCCTGATGATTGATAAGACCCTCATTTTCCGCTTCCAGTAGTGTGTCCAGCATCGCATAGCGCTGTTTCCGCCCATTTTCGCTATCAAGTACGGTTTGCCGTTTGTTTTGCGCTCGTTTTCGTTCAATGATGCGGCTGGAAAAGTCATGCGCTATTTTTAGATTCCTTACATGCTCTTTATAACTGCCGCAAATGTAAAAGTATGGCCAAAAATACATCAATGGATTGCAAACGCGTTCTACCATGACAATCTCCAATGCGTGTATGGCTTCACGATATTGGGAGCCTTCCGTCATATCATCAAGTTTCACACCCAGAGCAGTTTCTGGATAAAAAAAAGAGTGGGTAAATTATAAAAAAAAAAACTAAAGACCCATATCTTTTAAATGAGACAAATAAAACAAGTAATAGGCTCTAGTCGGGGATTCCCGGCTAAGGGATACCGTGAACCACCAAGTGCAGCTCGTGCTGAGCTTGGTTTACAATTTGATAAGCTTAAAAATTGTTATACAAAAAACTACTTTTCAACCGAATGCTTCTATAGCAGTTATATGATATAGTGGTACACGATGTTCTTTAAAACAACTTAATTTACGGCTGATCGTTCCTATGGTAACTATAATAAATGAAGGTATGCTGTTGATAAGATTTTGCATATTTTTAAGGGGCACAGTGAAACTAATAAATGCTTACTTTGAAGAAGAAATCTTGATTAGCTTCAAAGTTTTATCCAAGAATCTACTTTCCAGCCGAACGTTCTTATGGCTGCTATACTACATAGTAGTCTGATGTTGAAAGGATGTTGTTGAAAAAGTGTATAATTAAAGAACCTTATAGAATAGAAAGATTTTCGTTTGTTTTACTGAACACTCATCAGTTGTGGATATGTGCCTCGCTCTGCCTATTGCTAAATTTGTGCAACTTCTTAAGGGCAAATGTTTCTAAATCTAAATCTTACCGCAAACATTGTTCAGTGTGAACTGTGGAATAACCTGATGCAGATTCAATTCGTCGTCCACATTTTGAAGTAACACGTCGATTAGTTTATGGCTCTCTTCTCTGAAAGATTCAAGCACTTAGACATAACCTAGTGGTATACCTTAAAGAAAGATATGTTCATACTTGAAAATATTTAAAAACTGTTGCAGCACGTTGAAATGGAAAGCCGGTGTCAACATCTTTCGCCTAAAGTGCCACTTTTGATCTAAAAAAAATAAACCGGATGAACCTAAAGTAGTTAATTTTTAAATTGGCACAATTCTTACCTGTACTTATAAGTAAACCGTCACCCAAAAAGGGCCTAAGCAGCTCATACACAACGTTTTTTGTTATCAACTGTGTGCTCTGGAATATTTCCTCGGTATCCTCAGCGCATACTACATTATACATCGGCGCAAATAAAAAATACCAAATATAACTGCGCCCGTCGGCCTTGTCATAAGCATCCCGGACAAATTGAAACACCATCGCTAAGTGGAAAATATTTTAATTATAACCAATTGTCTCGTACCATAGACCATACTTACACGGCGTCATCCTCAGTATATCAAAATTATTACCGAATCTTGTTTTGCCGGGCAACACAGATACCTTGCTTTCTAGAGGACTACCATCCTGTGTATGTATACGCTTCACTAGGGACAGTATAAAGTATTTTCGATTAATATGCTTAAGGAGTAGCCATACTGCTACCAATAGTAATGCAGTTTCCAGCAATATAATCAACATTATTTTTAGCTTTGTTTCGTTATTTCGATTGAGCGAAAAGCCGAGCCCAACAACCGATAGAGCACCGAACAAGC